TGTTTGGTATGTGATTGAGTGTATGCGCCTGTGTCTGGTCGAGTTGGCTTTGTGATTGTGATGGATTGTGTTGGTAGTGGCGGCAATGCGGCGACAACGGCTGCCATATTGTTGACTGACTGTCTTTTTCAATCGAATGAGTACAAAATGTATAAGACTTCAGTAGGATAGACGAAACAATCAAGTGTTCAATAGAAATTGATCAAAAATAATATTATATAATAGCCCCGATTAGTTAATTTGAGACTTAAGACTAAACAGCTAACTAAAACATTAACTTACATTTAATATATCTCACGTTCTGCAGACACAGAAGTGCTCAACTAATACACTTATATAATCGTACTCTCCCACCCAGTGTACCTCGCATTTCAGCCTCAACCCAGTCTTTCAAATTATTTATAAATTAAAACCTATTAATTATATATATCTCGTCTAAAATGAGAGTCAAATTTTCGTAATTGTATATTTAAGAAATCCATTTAAAAATAATAAATATTATAAATATTAAATAAAACTCATAGCTTATCTAATTATTTTAATTATTACTATTACTATACTATTAATAATATGGTAATAGTAATAATTAAAACACCCGTTTTAGTTATGTATCACGCACTCCTTAAATGTTTTACTTGTTGATACACTTGTTGAAGGTTTTTCTTAAATGAAACACGGTATATGTAGGCGCAACGCAAAAAGTTTATTTAACACAATATACAGTAACAAGTACACTTCTTCACGTACCGCGACGATTTGAACTTAACTAACCGAGCCGACACACTGACATTGATCTTACACAATGAACTTACTGAATGAACTTTGGCTCGACTTACAGCACGCTTATATACCTACTTCTACTGCATATCGAATGTTCTGGATGTCTCCTTATGCTTCTATGTTTGCGTCTATTTCATAATCCAGAACATTCGGTTTCTTATTCTAGAGACAAATGTGCGATCAGCCGACGACTGTGTTTACCGTTAGCTCAAATGCTCACTTGATGATGAGTTTTTCGAGATCAATCCTCAACAACACTATATTGTAAAAGTGAAATCGCAGTTAGGATCGCTGTGAAGAAGTAGTCAAATGCAAAGCTACGATCACAAATTGTATCCAAAATGATAGTATTTAGTAATGGCTCCAATTTTTGACTTACAATCAGCGAGAAATACTGTAAATCAGTCGAATAAATATTACTGTAATCCCAGGTGATTTGCTCAACTCACCTCACTGTTGATGACCTTTAGGCGAAAGTCGTGTGGATCGGATTTATGGAAAAGCAGAACACTTACGAGTACAATTTGCTGCTGCATCGTCAACTCTTCGCTGCGTATGCGATCTGTGCAGATGCCAATAATGAGTACGTTCAGAATTGGTATTACGGCCGGACAGAGACAGCCGTCCATCAGAATATACAATTTGTCATCGACATCGTCCTCTGCATAGACGATGCACTGAATCATCAATGTCATATTGAAAATACTTGAGAATATTCCCAAAAAGATTGCAGCGGGAAACCAGGCGATTTTCTCCTGAATGAACTTATGCAAATTATTGATGCGTAAATACAGTTTGAAGAGCCACAACAGACGACGATGGTAGCGGCCAGATATAAAACTTTCATTCCTGTTATTATCCAAAAAGCGCTGTAAGACGTAGTTTAAATTACGGTACCAGTTGAGCAGAAGCAACTGATAGATCAAGTAGCCAAGAAAACAGTACTCCAGCAGAATCCAATATAAGAAGATGATCCAAAATGTAAACCTATGCCACAAGGCATCCAACATGATATACATGAAACACATCTTGCAAGAGTATACGCACAATAGAGACATTTCGACGTGATATTTCATGCCATACTTCTTCTCAATTGTGTATGTGATATAAAATATCTCGTTAAGCATATGCCTCATCACTTTGCGATCGGGCTCCGAATGCAAAAAGAAGAGAATGCGGCGAAATACGTATAGTAGGATACCTTGTATGAGCAGATTCATCGTGTAGCTCTGTCCCTCGGCATTGTCGACCTTCGAGAAGCATATCCATATCGCTAGTCCCAAGACCAAATAATGCACAATATCATGCAACAGAAGCAGACACTTAACAGCAACAACTATTTTATATATATATATATCGACAAGTTGGATTTAATAATATAAAGTCGATACCATGTCATTATAAATATTTGTTTTATCTCGTAAAGAATAATTAATACAAGTTCTAAGGTTTTAATAAATAGATCAGTAATGTCGAATGAAAATTTCTCTATATATTTTCTTTACTATAAAATATTCTCCATTTTTCAAGATCATTCTTATGGTTATATTTCTGCGGATAGATAAATTCTTTTCTATATGTGAAATTACGATATCAAGACTCAAATATCAGTAAGGCACAAGATAAATGAGCATTTACTTACCTTACAATCAACCTGCATTGTAGACCTTTGCTTCAAAGCCACAATTCGCTTCGGTTAAACTGCTCTAATGGGTCTGAGAGAGCAGCAAACTGAAAACCGAAAGCAACCCTCGGTGTGCAACATTTGCACACGATACAACGAACAACAACAACAACAATTATAAAAGCAAAGAACAACAATGAGATGCCTATCGAAGCCTATAAATAAATTTGCCATAGCCTAGTCAAAAGCAATATACAAAAGCCAACAAACGGCGAAAATATTTGAAAATTAATGCAAAGACATATACATACACACACACACACACACACTCAAATAGAGGGCAAAACACGCATACGCAGTGTATGACGACAGTATAAGATAAGGGACTGAGGAAAAGCAATAAAAACCGTCAAGTTGGCAACATTGACGGCATCGAGTGGGACGAGCTGAGTAAAACGCTTTACGACCATAGACGATGTCAACAAATAGCGCAAATACTGGCACAGCGAACATGGGCATGGGCATCTTCACCTGCGGCCTAAAAGTATGCAATAAAAGGCAGCCGATATCGTCGCAGCCATTGCGACTGTCGCCGCTTTGCATTAGTCCTGCGAGAAAGGACTTTGGCTGCGTTTCTTTTGATGCCCTGTACAATGTGGTTATCGAACGAACGATACATTTAATCAAAATGTGTATGAAATATTTTACAAATACTGGATATCTAGAGGAGAATCTCAGCAATTTGAATTCTTATTGAATTTATTTTTTAATAATACAGAAATATTTGGGAATAAAAATTTTCGGAGATATTCTGTTTGTAGTAGAAAAAAGAAAGTCTCAGGAATTTATACTGAGCTTGATTAATTTAAATCAATTTTTTTTATTAAGTTTTTTAAAAATATAAATAAATTCTCAAGCTCTCAATTAAAGATCAAATTAATTTAAAACTATTATTCTATATTTATAAAATATCTGCATTATCTAGAAGCATTTCGATTTTTTTTTTTTTTTTTTTTTTGTCTAAAATTATATGATCTATGAAAACGAAGGATTTACCGTACGGTATCAACGTCTTCTATCACTATTGGTATTTACAGTTCTTACTCTGTTTGCAATGCGCTTTTAATTTGACCGCGTCTGGCGGCAACGATGGCGCTGCCGACGACGACTTTGGCGTCCTTTTCCTTTGCCAGCGCATCGGCGCAGAAACTTAATTTTCCCACTGTAGCTGCTGTTGTGGTTGTTGCTCTTGTTGCTGCTGCTCTTGTTGTTGTTGACTTGCGTTTTTGCATTGCAGTGCAAAGTTTGCGACTCGCTAAAACTTTAGCCATTTCTTGTTTCTTTTTTTTGTACCTTTTTTTTTTTTTTTGGCTGCAACAATTTCCAGAACGAGGCTATTTGTTGCTTCGCTGGGCCAGACGACGGCAACATCAACGAAAATGTCGCCCAAAACCAATCATTTCCTTTATTCTCAGACCATCGCCTGCCGACGACGACGACGACTCTTTCTTTACTATCTCTCAGCGGATGTCTTACTAAGAGGGCAACATTTTAATATACTTGTGGATGGCAGCCATTGGCTCACTGCCATTTACAGCGTCCTCCCATGCTCGCTCTCTCACTCTCTGTGTGTCACGCAATTTTCTTACTAAAATAAATTTTATATCGCTTGGTTTTTGGTTTCGCCTCGGCGTCGTTTTTCATTTCATCGAGCGGACGGGAGCGCGCGCGCGCGCCCTGTTTATGAACTGCTGTGCCCTTAAATTGTCTTTATGCCATGGGCCAACTGCATGCCACTTAGACGTTGTCTTTTGACCCAGCCTGCTCGCTGTTTAGCTTTCCTTCATTTTCTTTTTTTGTACTTTATTATGTGGTCCTGTTTCACGATTTTCCCTTTTTCTGTTTTTTTTTTTTTTTTTTGCTAATATTTTGCGTTTTTGGCAAAATGACATCCTTTGGGTAAGCTAGCAGTGCCCCGAAATTTTAACTTAAATATAGTTCTGTGTATTTTCGCGACTCCTTTTGCCCGCTGACTGCATACTTTACCGTATTTTCCTCAGGGAAATTAAAATGTGCTCAGAGAATAATTTGAGTACATTTGGTGGCTATTGCACTTCCTTTTTTATGTCTTTTAGCAGAGGTACACAATGGGGTATTACAAGCGGCTCTACAATGGATTTTCTATGCCCGCAAGAATTTATGGCATAATGTTTGTTTTCATGTTTTGTTAAATAATCACAAGCAATATAATAAAATCTATCCTTAAATTTTGCGATATGAACCAAAAAAAGGGAATAATATGTAAGCTAATAATATTCATTAAACCACAAATATGTTTACAATACAATTATAGTTATAAATGTAAAATAAATGTAAATAAATAATCAGAGAAATAATTACCGATAACCATAAGCGCTATTACAATAAAAATAATTATCGAAGAAATAATAAGGTAATATAATTAATTATAGTAACTTTGCTAAATCCCTCCAAAATATAATTTATTTAAAATAGATCAATAGAAATGATCGAGATGAGATTTAAACATACTTTATCTAAAAATATTAGAGCTCATATTAATAAGAGATTTAATTAATTAAAGACTTTTATCAATTTTATTCTCTAAAATTCAACAGAAATTCAATTGAAGTTTTGCCCATCACTTATTTATACAAAGATAACGCTTTACCCTTCAATCTGTTCTTAACAAGTATTTATATTACACTTTTCCCCAATTCATATCAGAGAGCACAGAATACTTAAAAAAAAAAATCTTCATTACTAGAGCATCCGCTGACTGGTTGAAATTAAACGCAGACTTTACGATATTTTTTTGTATTCTCTCTTTCTGCAATGTGGCTTCCACTCGTTGTCTCTATTTGTGCATGTCAAATAACATTTCATTGACTTTTGCAATTTTTGGAGCGTTATGTTTTACAAGGGCACATATTGGGGCAAGCGTGGCAAGGGAAAAAATGAAACGATTCGCGTTGAATTTGTCAGTCACATACGAAAGCCAATGAAGTGAATTGTGAATACTGCAAATTTGACTGAACTAGTGGAAAAAAAAAACGAAATACAAATTTGCAAATTAATATTAAAAATTTTATTTCAAAAATTTACTTCAATTATTTGAAATGGTTTGATTTTACTTGTATACTTTATCCAAATTAATTTACTTCAACTTTTGCTTGTCATTTGTCTCCCTGATATCCATACCCGGTTTGACTTTCTGTATCTCTTCTGGTTCCACGGGATTTGCGTACTTATAACATATAACAGATACGCAACCCAGAATAATACCAAGCATTACGCCAATACCACATATACAAACATAAAACGCCATACGATAGCCAGCATTCAACAAATGTGCCAAGAAATCTATTATCGGTTGCACCGCATAATAGCAAATCACTTCAATCGGATTTAGTAACATTTTGATACAATTTCTCTTTTTGTGGTGTTTATTAATAAATAGATTAATACTGTAAAACTCAAAGACTGTGTGACTAGTAATTCTCATCTAGATACACATATAACTCACTTTTTCGTTTCCAGTCACGAATAATCAGAGCAAACAATTCCTGAACTGAATAACTATTGAAAAATTTCAGTTATTAAATTATTCGTCTATCATGGAGTTCCAGGAATATTTGCACAAGCAATTGGCCATATTCAATTACCATTTGCACTCGGACTACGGATTGTTAATCAAGACAGCGACTTGCATTGCATTTGGCGCCGTCTGTGGCTGGATTATGGGCCTCATCACATTGTTGCTATACAAAATAGCCAAATGGCAGGAGATTTTCCCGACCACTGTCTACAATTATCAAGATGATGATATCGACTTGGAATTGGATACAGATAGAATTGGGTATAACATTCCGTTGCATGATTCTGAAAGTAATAGGCCAATCTATAGAGGTCTATAACCACTTAGCACTGGTAAAGGCAACATCACTGACAGAACCGCTTGTCATTGATCTCTTAAGTGTGTGTGTGTGTGTGTGCATTTTTGTATGTGTTTGTATTCATTGCAATTTAAAAGAACTTCAGCAACAAATTAAAATGCACTTGCCTAACTCAACTGCCTCTTAGACTGTCTCGAGTGTGCGGCAAATTTCAAGTTGAAAACAGTAGCTGAAAAATTTGCCGCAGTCATTAGCAGAATTCTCATATGCTGGTTCAATGTTGCAACGTTTAAATTCAATTACTCATACGCTCATACGCATATATGTAACCGTAACCATTCCACAGCCGCCACATGAAAAAGATGCTCCTCCACTGGGGGCATGTGTGTTTGCTTTGAATATGGCCACAGGCTTGAAATATTTAATAAACCATATATCTTTTCTTTTCGCCTGCACAACATTTGCTGTACTTTGCTGTGCTGTGCAAAATTCTTCTTGCTTTTGTTGGTCTGTGGGCTGCTCCGCCTCCTCCTGCTGCTGATTTTTCACAAATAGCCGGAAGCTATTTTTTCCACAAATTCCATATTATATATTGGCTGTCTTTTACGGTGACTGTTCTGTGTGGGTATTGAAGGTCATGACTGGATTTGAAATTAGCCTTAAAGCTTTTTCAAGTTGTGTTTTCATATATATATATATATATATATATATATATATACATACATATGTACATTTTTGTTTTTGTCAGTGTTTGGCTGCTGCCAAAGGTTATAATTTATGAATTGCAAATTTTCATTCACATTTCTTTTGCAGAAACTCAAAAACGAAAATATCAAGAAGAAATCAACATGTTCCAGAGATATAGAAATAAATTCACGAGCTCATAAGTTGCTTAAAACATGGAAATGCGAATGAATATATATGTATATGCTCAGGAATATGTCCGTATCTATTTTCAAATGGAAAATCATTACAAATATAAATGTTTACGTCTTGAGACTGAAAAAAAAATATGAAGAGCTTTGCAGACTACAAAAATTTAATAAAATCTCTTATTAAAATAGCAATGGAGCTCTGATTTTATGAATAACCCTTTTTTATACAGTACAGCTAACACCCACTAGAGTTCACTTTTCATGCAGAACTCTATCCGCAGCTATTAGCCTACTTTTACCAATTTGGCAACGTCGCATGTTCCATTGTTATTTAAAGACCATTGTCTATGCAAGCACTTGAGAAATGCTTACAACATTTCAGAAACAGACTTAGAGAGACAGTGCGACGAGAGCTGCGACTACGGCAACCCCAATTTTTGGGGAAAGTGAGTTATAATTGCAAAAATGTAACAATGAATTGGGCGGAGAGGGCGATGCGGTGCGGGTTGGGTCACCGCCATACTGCGGTTAGCATGAAAGAGAATCAGAAAGTGAATAAAAGGCGGGGTTGCGTTCGCATTTAATCACCCAGCCAAAACGCCCCCACTCACTACAAGATCGCGCAATTCATTCAGTGGATGCTGCCGCTGAATGCAGAGCTTAAGTCTTAGGGCGTCATCGCTACCCTTTCTTTCAAGGGTGTTGCCTGCCTTCCAAATGCGCTTAGGGTGTCATAGCCTGTGATTTCGTCGTTGCCGTCGTTCTTTACGGGACAGCAAACAGCTGTCGACACGACAACAAATTCCAAATGCAACTCCCGAAAAAAAAAAACATACTTTCCCTATGCCTTCACAGAGACTAAAACAAATCCAGCCCTGTGCAAGGGAATACGACTTAATTGATACATAAATAACAGGAGACACTTTACACCTGACGGGCTTTGCTCGACTATGAAATACCCTTCTTTACCCTTAGGCATAAATATCAAAAATAAAGATGGCCTATTTTGTATAATTTTACTTTACTCTTTTTATATGTGCAGAAAATGTCCAGAAAATCCTTTAATTATTGACATAATTAACTCTCTTTTGAAGACTTTTAATTATTATTTAATAATTAATTTTTAAAAATTAGAGTATAAAAATATCTTTCTACTCAAATCGCGGTCAACCTTTCAATCTCAATCTCCATTCTCCAAATAACTAAATTTGTAAATTTTAAAATATTTCTTAATATTTAACATTAGAAATAAAATTTTAAAAATAAATAAATAAATAATATTATAATATTCAAATGTGTTCAGTTTAACTTAGATAAAACAATCTCTTCAAAATTGCATTACAGGGTAGTAGGATATCAAAAGAGACAGTCCAAACTCCCCAAGCCCTTTGCCATCATAATGCGAGCAGATTGTGGATTCATTAAGGATTTTCATTTTATTGAAACATGAGTACTTTTCATATATGTATGCGGTGTCGTAGAAACAAATATATATGTATTTATATGTATATATGTATGCATATGTATATGTATTTATATATTTTTGCTGTGCCAGGCATAATGAAGCTTAGACGGCATGGGATTGCACTAGATGTTGTTGTTACCCAGGCAACGGCTCAGTATGCTTTTCTCTGTCGTTTTCTTCCATTTTTTTCCTCTTATTTACAGCAACAAGAATTGCATTTTCCGGCGCTCTCATTTCCATTGGGAAAATGGCACTGCCAAAGTATTTTACACGACTGGGATGCTCGTCTGCCTCTCTCATTTCTTTGGTGCATTGAACCTACTTGCATTCATATTTACGTCTGTATATGCGGTTCACTTGCTGTGCGACTTTACTTTTGGCAAAAATATTATAGGTTCAAACTCTCATTCTGCGCGTGTTTGTGTGTGCCTGATTCGAGGCATTTTTTTTGCTTTGAAAAGCATGGTAAATTTTGACGGAAGGCAGAGTAAATCGCCCAAAGAAAAGCAACCTGGATTAAAGACAACTGAAATGGAATTAAATAATATTTTATTTTATTTTTTTGAATCAAGCAGTTTTACAGCAGAAAATCTTTAATTGAATTGAATATAAATATTTTTAATGAACTTAGCGTGTATATTATAATGCATATTTGTAGCTCATATAAATCATTATATATATATATATAAATAAATATACATATATATAAATATTATTTTTAGTGTTTCGCTAAATTCAATTATTGAATTGAATATCTTTTGGTATATTATATCCACTCATTATTGATTTTCCTTCTTTGTATATACATTTCCTCACATACGAGAATAATTGTGTGCCAATTGCCTAGGTCATTTCGATTAATTCGCTTGTTAATGGCCAACACATAAATAAAAGAAACTCGCCCAAAACGTTTCGCATACACATCACAAGTCGCCTCTCATTCGTTCATTGACCATTGACCATGTGGAATACGGAGGACATCAATTTGCTGAGTGGCGGATTTGCTCAGTCAATCTACCGTCGATTCTTTCAGTGTACTGCTTGGCTGCTCTATGGCATTGCGCGTGTTTGTCATTTCCTCAAGCTGCGCTACAATGCAGAGCATATGCGGATGGAGGAGATTCAGTATCATCATATGATCTCGAAAATAGTCGTGACGGTTAAATTTGTATTCGTATTATTGGATCTTCAGAGTTATTTAGTGCTTACCCTGGTCTTATGGCTACACATTTTTCGAGTCGAGAACAGCGGCGGACAGAACTATATGATTGGGTTGCTCGTCCAGGGCCTTATCATATCTGACCTACGCCGAATATTTATTTTTTTGCATTCATTCGATGATCGAAAGTTGATCAAGCATATAATCAATGAAATCTTCTATATCACACAAACCATAAAACGCAAATTCGGCATGATATATCACTTTGAAATGTGTCTATTGTGCGTCTACTCTTGCAAACTGTATTTGGTGTACATAATGCTAGATTCCATGTGGTATCATATGACATTTATTTGGATTAACTTCCTATATTGGCTGCTCCTCGAGTACTGTATTCTTGGCTATTTCATCTATCAGTTGATTCTACTCAACTGGTATCGTAATTTTAGTTATTTTTTGCAACGATTTCTCGAGTACAACCGCTATCAGAGTTGCATATCTGCTCACTATCATGGGCGTCTGCTGTGGCTCTTCAAACTGCACTTACGCATCATTAATCTGCATAAGTGCATTCAGGAGAGGGTCGCCTGGTTGCCTGCAGCGATCTACTTGACAATATTCACGAGTATTTTCAATATGACTTTGTTGCTCGAGTGCATTATCTATTCCGACGATGAAATCGAAGACAAAATGTATATCATTGCGGATGGTAGCCTCGGGCCGGCTTTGATACCAATTCTCAACATGTTAGTTGTTGGCATCTGCACAGATCGCATACGCAGCGAGGAGTCGGCATTGCAGCAACAAATTATACTCGCTAATATTCTGTGTGTTCGCAAAGCCGATCCAAACGATTTTCGCCTAAAGGTTCTGAACAATGAGGTGAGTTACGAAATACACTTGATGGCAGCATATAATATCTTTCCACATGATTACAGCACACTGCTCTGATTGTTCATCAGAAATTGGAGCCATTGCATAATGTGATTATTTTGCATACAATCGGCGATCGGGAATTTGCCTTTGATTACTTCCTGACAGTGATCGTAACTGCTCTCTCCTTTATACAGTACACAGTGTCCACAAATCGTGTTTACAAAGTGTGCGTAACACACAAGTAATGCAAAAAATAAAATTAAAACATTCATGTTTATAAACACATATATTTTATAAGAAAGTTTTTGAAATATCCCAGATGTGCATTAATTCAACATGAATTCTACATTTTTCTGCATATTCCTTCAACTAGTTAAACGCCTAGCAAAAGCCCATGAACAACTTGCTGAGCCCCAAAACTTTTTATAAATTTACACTCAATAACAGCAACCGCTCAATAACATTCAACAGTCACGTGCCGATTCGATATTCAATGTCTTCACAGAGTGAAAAATACTAACAACATTTTTGATACATTTTGCTGGTATATTGAAATTTATTTTTATGCAACCAACCCCGAGAGCGAACGTGTTTTGCTCTCAACCTACACACAGCCTACACCCGCGCCAGACGATAAAATAATAATCGATTTGACTTTGGTTGGAGTTTTTTACTTTTCCACTCACTCGCTCACTCACTCTTTCGCTCTTTTGGTAAAAAAAAAAAAAAAAAAAAAAAAAAAAAAGCCCACAACTCATCGGAGCCGCCCCCCAAAAGCAGGAAAAGAAGCAAAAAAAAAAAAAAAGTGGAGCTCTGGCACTTCCTGCTGGGAATCGATTTTTGTACATTTCCCAAACTGCGATGCTACCAAAATTTATGCGAATTTGAATTTGATATGGTTAAACTGTTTGCCTAGGCAGCGTCAGCCATGCAAATGGTTTGATAAGAGAGCAGCAGCGAGGTGTGCATGGGAACATGGGGGCGTATTGTAGGCTGTCATTGTGCCTAGCTTTGTCGCTTTTTAGTGTAAAATTAATTTGCTATAATTCATCAATGGGCCCAGCCAAAGGATTATTTTGCATAAAAAATTGTGGCACTTGTCGATTTTTGCATAGTCTGCTTTTGGTAACAAGTAGCAGCAGGAGCGGCAGGAGCATCTGTTAGGCAAGCGGTTGGGCTCTGATAATAGCGAAGAGGGAATGGAAGGTGGTCCATTTGGTGTGTGTAACTGACGCACTTTGTGTAATTTATGGCTGCACATTTATTTTATTGAGTTTAATGTGGGCGCAGTTGCTGCCAGCGCCTTTGAAAGGTGAAAGGTTGGGCTGGGTTGCGTTGCGTTGCGTTGCGTTGGATTGAGTTCGGCTGGTTTGGTGCGCTGTGCAGGCGGCTTGAAGGATGGCAACTGCTGGTCCATTGGCGCTTTGTTATGCCTGACTGAGCGCACTGGCAAAATGTATTACGTTTGAGCAGGGGATGAATGGTATTTGAAGATGCCACAAACACAGTTCATGAAATGAATCTGCGTTTCGCAGTCATTCGAATATTAAATTCCAATAAATTTAGCAGTTGAAAATTTTTGAGAAATTTCTTTTTCAATATTATGACTAATTAGTCAATAGACTAATTGAACTAAAAACGCATTGAATAGTCAACAGTGAATTACAACTATAATTATTTATTTCAAAAATATTCCTTTAACTTGTTTAAAGAGTGGCAGGACATTTTATGATCAGAACTGATGTTTTAAACATCAAATAAAAGTGAAATAAATTATCAATACTTTATTCAACTATAATCATAACATATATAGCATTATAATATTTATTTTTTGTAAGAAAGTCCCTATTTTAACAATTGTCATATTTAATTAATTATTTTTAAGAATGTCGAAGAATGTTGACTAATGAATTTTTGACTAAATCCCTCAACAAAATTCACTAAAAACCTAACTGCCGAATTTATGTCAGTACATATTATATGAACTATGTATATATGACCTAACTCAAGTCGACTCTAATTTCGCTCTAGCTGAAAAATATTTACACAATCAATTCCAACATAATCAAAGCCCCATTCCAGTTGCTGTAAATCTTGTATATCTCTGGCAACTAGAAATATACTAAGACTTGGCATTAAATTTTATAATGCCAATTAAATGAAATATGTTTTTGTAAGCCGATTTCCAGGACAAATAAGCAAACAAATTAAATCGTTAGCCCCACAAAACTTTTGAGAACAAAACCCAAACATAACGATGCTGCCTCTGATGTTGCCCAAGAACTAATTAAGCATTCAGAAACGTTTTGGCATAAAGTTTAAATTGTCTGTGGACATGAGCGCCCGATGATGCTCGACGCTAGCTACGAAAATCCAATAATAAAGCCAAAGCTACTGTCGACGACGACGACGACGACGACAACGGCAACGGCAACGGCAACGGCGCTTGATAGTCATAAATTATAGCAAATTATTAAGCAAGAGTCAAAAAAGTTTTGCACCGCACGCGCCAAAACAAAAGTCGCGAGTACATTGCGTATACGTAATGCCGGACCATGTCGCCTTTTGCTCTGGCGTATGATTTATTTTTATTATTATTGGCGGTGAATTTTAAATCAAAAAGTGCACAAATGCTGTGGCCCCCAACAACAACAACAAAATGGGGCGAGAGCGCTATCGTCGTCTCCCCAAACCCAAAATGAATGAAAAAGTAGCAAGGGCAGCAGCAGCAAAAAAGTATGCTACAGTTGTTTGAGTTGCCGTCGGTCGCAGCTGCTTTTGTCATTATTAATAACTGTTAATTATTCACCATTATAACTATGCTTGAGAGCACGTTTCGTGTTTGTACTCCACCAAGCCCACCATCTACTATTATCCCGCATTCTCTCTCTCTCTCTCTCTCTCTCTCTCTCTCTCTTTCTCTCTATATACTTTGTCGCTCAAGTAAATTCTCTTTTCATTTTGTTTGGCATCATATTTTATGTGCTTCTTAGTTAACGCCTGTTCGTCTCGCCTCATTTTCTTCTCACTCTCACTGTCTTGCTCTCTCTCTCTCTCTCTCTCTCTCTATTGGCCATATTTACATATTATTAAAAAGTTTTTCAAGCTCAGACGACAACGACGAAGGCGACGGCGACGGCAGCCAGGAAACTTTTCTATTTTGCCTTGGTTAAAGTTATTGAAAATTCATGAATAATTGACATTTATTGCAGTTGGCACAACTGATGGTCGATAATGGACGACCGAGCGCCCACTCTAAAGTGGGCGTGCCTTCTAAGATTTTCTCTGTGCGTGCGTGTGTGTGTGAATCTCTCTCTGTATCTGTCTGTGTCTCTGTTCATTTATAGACATAAATATTAAAGTAGCTTACGTACTTAATTGTAAATTATGTATTCAATTAGTTATGCCAGGTTGCCCGCACCAACAATACTGTCAATAGCTCTGTAGACGATGCGTGTGCTCTACTACAGATAACTAGTTTAGGAATATTCAATCAAATTTTCAATTTACTCTTCATATGCAAGCCCTGAAATTGTCAAATATTCATTTATATTCAATTAAATTAATTCATTAAACTGTTGCTTGAATTTTATGCTGCTTTTAACATTCAATAGCTAATTATATGTTATTTATTTCATATCAATTTTTATGATTTTAGATATATTTATATAAAAAAATAAAAAATATTTTTTTAAATTTTTTTTACTATTGTTTTTTATCTCTTAAATATTTATACATATTTGTATTTTATGATATATATTTTTAAAATTTCTAAAATATATTAATTCCAATGAAAAGATTAAATAGGTCAAGATATTTAGCTTTGTAAAAAATCAATTTGAAAACTTCGGTTTGACGAGCAGCCAGAGGTTAGAGTTCTGCTTTTGTAGTTGATAACATTGCAATTTTTGATTAAATGTGGCCCGCAGCACGTTTACATCATGAAAATCTGCGAAGCATTATGAAAATGTGAGCTAACCATGCGGACCCAACCAAGCCACTCACTGTCTGCCTAAATATATTTTGCCATAAAATAACACCAGAGGGCGCTGTCAGTAACATAAGCTCAGCATTTCCGTTTTTGTTTTAGTTACAACTAAGCTGCATATATATATATATATATACATATGTATATATTATGTATGTTTGTGTATGTATGCACTTGGGTGCGTCTCGTATGCATACGGTAGCATATATTTCAAAACATTTATGTGGGAGTATGTAAACCGCATATGCTGATGATTTTCAGAGACGGCGCTACGCATTTTCAGGCATTTGCATTCAAATGCATTTAATTAAATCAACTAGAACCAACAGGAAAATGCAGTAGCAGCAGCAACAGCAACAGCAGCAGCACCGAACTCACCTCAACCCAGCGCAGCAAATGACCTTCCCGCACACCCCAGGCGCTCAATATGAGCCTCATAACATTTAAAACAAAATTTATTTTGTGCAAATTTTGCCAGGTTCGTTAGTTTTAATTGTGTTTAGTTTTCATTTTGCAGTTGTCAGTTGAGCCACAGTGGCGCAACACAAAAATTATTGCAGTGAAATCTGAACTGAAACTTGACGAATTAAAGTACAAAATTCTTTAATAATCAAACGAAAATACTGAATTATAATATATTTTATTGCATTAAATATTAGAATTATTTGGGATAATTATATTACATATTAATTTATACAAATTTCAAAGAAATTCTATTCAACTAATCTTTTTCCAAAATATTTTACATTATGTAAAACTAGAAATTATTTCTGATTTTTATTTCGTTTTATTAAAAATATTATCATTTTCAGTTTTAATAATTGCATGGAATATACATACATATACGTAAAAAAATAAATAAATTAGATTTCATTTCCCTAAAAACGTTTGTAAAAACAATTTCACTGCAATTGCAATTAACTGGGCTGAAAATGTTATGTTTTCCACATTAAATAGACAACTATTTTCGCTTAAAATAATAAATATTATTTAAGAAGAACTTGGAGATATTTCAATCGGACTATTAAAATTTCCATAAGAGTAAGAAAATCATAATATATATTTACAAATTAATGATATTCCATGTCCACAAACAATAATCTTTCACGTACCTTTGTTTAGGTTGACAGCAATGTAACCATGCTTACAATTAACTGAGCTGAAAATGTTATATTTTTAGCCGACTGTTGATGCGTTTTCTGCCAATTTGACAGTTTTAGGCTTGTGGTTTTAAAAAACAAGCGAAGCCATTAAATAATACACAAACGAAGCAAAAGCCAGATCGAGAGTGCTGCCGACCTGTCTGCCAGGCAGCCTGCCTATTAGCCTGACTGCCTGGCTGGCAGGTTTGCAGGCCCGAGGCCAATCCCTCTGTCAATTAGCGATTGGCTGTAACAGCGTACCCCCATCAAGCTGTCAAAAAGTTAAATGTGAAAAACTCATTCGTATCATTTATATTATTATCGCTAATTGAAGACAAGGCCGTAGGTAATACCCAATGGCTTCAGCTCACAGACTCTCCTCCGACAGCTCCCAATTGAAATCAAATGGGAGGAGGCCCTGCAAGAAACCAATGATAACGGAGCCTAGAAAAAAAAGGTTTTAGACGGCATCCAACATTGTATTCATGTTTATTAACACTCGAATGCATTTCTTCGTTTCTGTTTCAGTTGCCTTACGAAAAACTTTACAGTGGCTTCTAGCCCAAATGGGATAAAGTTTTGAATTTCTTTCATTATTTTCGTTTTTTT